GTGGGAATGGTGGGGTAAAGAGGGAAATGCTGAGGTTACTGCAGGACAAGTTGGATTGGAAGGAGCTAAAATGACAGGAAAGTTAGCTAAGGGAGAAAAACAAGTAGGAATGGATGACTGACTGAGCAAGAGTGGAGCACCTTTCTAGTGGCAAACATCCATCCATCCATCTATCTGTTAGCTATACCTGCTTTACCCTGCAGAGAGTCGTGGAAGGCCGGAGCCTGTTAACAACAGATGAGAAGTAGGGCACGCCGTGGACAGTCCATCCAACTAGCACAAAGAGACACACAACCATGTACACACTCACACCTACGACCTCATTCAGAATCACCAATTAACCTACTGGACCACCAGGAGAAAACACACATAGGCACATGCAAACTTCTCCACAGAAAGCACCGACCGGCACTTTCAGGCCCAGAGCTTTCTTGCTGTGAGGTGGCAGTGCTAAACGCTGCACCACTGAGCCACACCAATGCCAAACAACAGATGAACAAAGCTAGCAAATGGTTGGAAAACACCATGAATGGAGCATTTAACTGCTAAAGATCCAAATAATTCCCTCAGGTTTGGGGAAAGCAAAACAGAGTCGAATGCTAATGCCAATCTGTGTCTCCTGGATGTGTGAATCGGCCACTGTTTTCTAAAAAATACGTTCATCCTATGGATTTTATAAAATGAGACTATGTTCAATATTGTGTTTACTATTAGATAATGCAGATTTTGATATAGAACCCATTTAACACGTGAACCTGCAGCGTATAGTCTGTGATCATCCATACAGAAAAAGCCAAAAGACATTTTTCTTTTACCACATCCCTCACCAGCGGCTGTGTAATAGACAGGAGACATGATTTCCTGCCCACACCCAACATCCGAATTTAATTTGGCCAAAGAAGGCAAATTTATAGCATCTTATTCAGAGGGGATGAGACGCCACTGTCTCTGCTGTGCTGCAACTTTAGCAGTAGCGGGCATTTCTTATACAGAAAAATATCTCCAGTTGCAGCTTTAACAAAAAAAAAAATGTTTGGGAAGCTACAAAAGAAAAAAAACGTGACCACTTTACCGACAGCGCTGGTAATATAGACTGCTGAAGAAGTGATTTGTGCATCTCTAATGGGGAAAGCATGTTCAATGGCAGGAGTTTGCTAAGGATTTGATTACCTCCCTTTTCACTTATGCAACATTTAATTTGATTTTCCCGGTCAAGTATGTTATTAGTGTATGTCAACGAGGAGCAAGTACGGTAAATATGTCACTTAACATGTCGATTCAGATCAGAATTTTAATCGGTTTTCCATTTCATCTTTAACAAGGGTGAAATAATCTGGAGCTAATCTATAATAGGCAAATCCAATCACTGAAGCCATTGCCTGTTGTGATTTGAAGCTCTGCCAGACTTTGATCGCCACGGCAGTAAATTGATTTGTAGTGATCCACTGGTCTCCTAAATGCTGATCCTGGGGAAAAAAGGTTCACGTCTTTGCTTTAGGCTGAGGTTGTGGTTGAGCTCCGAGATGCTCTTCCTTTCTCTCTGATCTCTTCTCTGTATGACAGTTCAGCAACAACAACGCTGGCACAGTAACAAGGCAACACAGAAGCTGGTCGCTGTTTCTGCCTGCTGCCTTCATTAAGCTAAGCTCAGTCTCTGACTGTTCAAGCTTGCTGTAGCTGTCTGGTCTTGTGCAGATTTACAGGAGCAGCCGGGGTGGGGGTCGGCTGGAAATATGAATTTAATTAAATGTGACTCACAGAAGACAAAACCGGCTAAACTTGATGGAAAAATAGGGTCAGGTGTGGAGCTTAAAGTTGTCCCCTCTGCCCTACCTTTTCCACTTGCACCCACTTAACACAACTACCTCACGTGACACACCCACACACACAGGAAGAGAGAGGAGACAAAGTAGGACGCACCTGATCTCTTTCATTATAAAATGTAAAATGGCTCATATTTACAACGCAAATTGCCAAAGCAGACATGTAAGGAATAAAAAACATTCTCCTGGTATGCGTCAGACAGCAAGAGCAAGCACCTAAAGCTTTAATACGAATCGACTAATATGGACCAAAAAACTATCACAAAAGCCTCGATTTGAGCACTTTTGGCTGCAGAGGTCACTTAAAGCGACAGTTTGCTTAACACCACAAGAGAGTCATTGTAATGTTTTCATTTTAATGTGTTAAATTTAGAGGATTCTTAACCTTGAACAGTCCCCCAGCCTCTAATCCTCAAACCTTATCTCCGCTCAGTATTTTGACTCTGTCAGTCAGTGGTGTTCCACATAGTCGGGCGTTTTTTTTATCAGCGGGAGGCTCAGCCGAACAAGTGGTAACTGAACAATAAGAGAGCAGCGTGAAGGGGGTTTTAGTGTTTTCAAAGCCTATCACTCGTCTTTGAGGAAATTAGTAGTTTTGAGTTAAAGTTCAACAGATATCAAATGCTAACAAAGTGCCTTCTTCTGCTGCTTCGCTGTCTGCTTATCAGTCCTACTTCAACTCTGCCTACTGTTTTAGAATGTTCAATAAAAAAAAAAAAAAAAAAAAAAGGAGGGAGGGAGGGAGGCAGACAGGAGTGGTTTAAGTCTGATTTATGAGTGTATTTTTGCAAGCCTTAGTGCATTTAAAACCCTGTGTTTAAGGTCAGAAGCGGCACATGAATCAGGACCTCCTTTATTTTTTCCCTTTCTTTCATCTCCTCTCCAAAACTTGCATTAGCGTACTTTACCTGTGAATCCTTCATGTTTGTCTGTCTTCCTTCCTTTGTCCTCGCCCGTGCACCTCTCCATACTTTCAACAACCCGGTTTCTCAGCCGGGGGCCAAAGGTCACGTCGTAGGGCTCCTGTGAAATCAATCACAGGTTAAACCTTTTAGTCTGCGTCAAAGGCAGCTACCGTGCGAGTCTGTGTTTTTGCGCGGTAATAGATAGCTGACTGGCTACAGGCCAGTGCGTGCTGAGGACAAGCTTTCATTTCTTTATTTATTCCCACTGACACACAATGAATTCATTCATGCAGCCCATCATTGCCGGGAATGTATTCACTGCAGATACACGAGATCTTTCAGTAATAATAAATAGCTCCATAGTGACGCTGCTGTAGCTGACGTCGCCGGAGAGAGTGACGGATTTAGACAGGTCGACAGGATGCAGAACAGAGCGACTGAGCAAGTTTGTTCCTCGAAATGTTCAGAGTTGTACAGTGCTTCGAGAAAAAAAAAAAAAAAAAAAACGGGCACATCTTTTATTCATGTTCGGTTGTCGAGGTGTCAAGAGTTTTGTCAAGCCTCTCATTGTTCCCTTAACCTTGTCCCTGTGAAACGTTCTGTCTCTATCTCTTTGGTTAAACATTACTGCCAGGCCATGGGGGGAATGGAGAGAAGAAGAAGAAGAAGAAGGGATGGAAAGAGGGAACGAGAGGTTCCCGTCATCCTTTCATCATTAAACAAACATGTACTCTTATAAAAAAAAAAAAAAAGTGCAAAAGGGAGAGCAGCGTAAGCATGACAGAAACGGCACAGAGATAGAGGGGAGGAGGAGGAAGGGACACTGAGGATGAAAGTGATGGTAAAGAGAGATGAAATGGGGGAGAGTAAAGGGGGAGGAGGGGAGTGGTGCAGACAGAGTACCTGTGTGCAGAGCAGAAAGGTGTGCAGTCCATCATCTTCAGACGGGCAGACAGGGCTGTCTGGGGAGTTTATTTTTACCTCAATATAAGAGTCTGGATCGGCTACAGGAAGCTGGTAGCACCTTTCAGTGGGGGTTCGAGGACAGATGCCGTCCCGGCGTGACCGTCTTTCAATGCACATGTTCACACAAACGGAGACGCACCGAGCTCCGGGTCAAAGCTCACGTTGCATCATGTTTCCAGCTTCTCAGATGTGAGAAATTGATTCTTTGCTTCATCGTGGTCTGCTGGTCAGACTAGCAGTTGCACTGTGTCGCCTATTGATATTGGGAAATTATACATTTTTTACAGTTTTCTGACATTGCAGCTGCAGCCCTTTAAGACAAAATACTAGCAGCAGTTTGCTAAATTAACTCACTTGAGGCTTTCTAACAAACCATGTATTTTCTGCAATGGGTTAATTGAGTATAAACATTTCAGAAACATGACAACGCAACACAATTTATTTGTCCAACACCTCAGAAATCACACCAATAAGGCCCAAACTGAGCTTTTAGAAGTTTTAGTAGAAATTTGTGACAAACACTTCATGATTCATGGCCCTGTACACTTCCTATATGTCATTACACTGCCTAAAGCTGTAAATCTACACGGTGTCATCAGGAGTCAGTGAGATGTGCTGTTGATCCTCTGTGGATCAATTTCTATCTTGTATTTATAGACCTGTGGATCACCTCGTTCTCTCTTTTTCTGACTCGCTGTTAGTACCAGCGCAGACACACCAGGAGGAGAATTGATTAACAAATCAGGCCTGTAATTAATTCTTACTGTGATCAAAGCCGCGAGAGGAAGTCCGCGGAGAGCCCAAGGCGCGAAGGTGAGGCGTTTCACACCGAGCGTATACCCTTATCGCCATGTTGTTTGTTCCCCCCTAAACAGGTGGGTTTTAGATTTAGCATAATGTTGGGTGAATTTCAAATGTTTTTAAAGGTTGCCCTGTCTGCTGTTTGGCATTTGGGAAGTGATTAGTGCTCCTACGGTGGCGTTTTGTCTTTCTGTTTCTCATGAGATTTGTAAGGGGACTGTGACGCTCCAAACACATCACTTCACGGAGCGTTCAGGAGCTGCTTGTCAACTTGTATCCCTGCGTAGGCTCCTTCATCTGTCTTTTTTGGCAATCATAGGATATATTCCCTTTTGTGTGCTTGTAAAGCCCTGTTTACATTTGTCTTTCTTTGTGCTCGTCTGTTTGCCTCCGCTCTCAAAAATGTCCCAATTTCTGTTTTGTTTTGTTGTTTTTTTTTCTTCTTTTTGGGTCTTGATTAACAAACTGACCCACATCCTCCCGCTGTGTTCTTTTATTTGTGCAGGTTGGCTCTTTATGTGTACGAGTACCTGCTGCATGTAGGAGCACAGAAGTCAGCACAGACATTTCTCTCAGAGGTAAGCCACAAAAATGCTTTATGTGTCCACGTGTGTGTGTGTGTGTGTCAGGCTGCAGCCCATGTACTTTATGTGTCCACTCTGAAGGGTGGTCTGACCCTCATGCAATATGTCCAGTAAGTGTAGCAGCTAATTGAATTAACTTGGCCTCACAGTGCTGAGCCAACAGGTTAGTGCAGCAGACAAGCGTTTTTAACATTCGTGCTGCGTTTAGTAGGACCGGAGCTGCAGCACAGGAAGAGTTACAATGAGCCAGAGCTGACATCTTGGACTGACATCATTGTCTAATCCACTCACAGTCAATCTCTTCCTGTCTTTTTTTTTTTTTATTCCTCTTCTCTCTCTCTTTGCAATCCTACTGCTCTCCTCTTTATTGGTTTCTCTACTTGCGAGCTTGTCCGCACTTTAATTCTGCAGAGGTGGAAAAAAAAAAATCAAAAGGTGATGGGGGGGGGGGGGGGGGGGTTTAATTCTGCAGAGGTGGAAAAAAAAAAATCAAAAGGTGATGGGGGGGGTTGAAAGTGAGGTCAGTTGATTATTGTGCTTAGCTCTAAATGACGGTAAATTATAACGTAGAAGACGAGAGGCTTGTCGTACATCGGCCAGAGGAAGAGCAGAACAAAGCGAGGGGGATGGAAAAAAGGTTACATCATCAGCTGGCACTGATTCCCATCACTCCGACTTGGCGTGTGTTGGCGCACATACACCTCCCCGTCTCTCTCCGGCAACCTTTCCTCTCTGCCGTGTCATTTGCGCTCTCTTCCGCAGATGAAGAGAGATGAAAAGGATAGGCGGTGTCATATTCAAGTGTGGGAACGCATTAGCTAAGAGTGCAACAAGTATAAACACAGCCACTTGTGTACAGTTCACACGCACACACACATGCGCAGGGTAAACAGCAGGCCAAAATGTAGCTCTTTCTGGGAATAGCGAGGTGGAGCACGGGCAAGGCTTTAAAGTCCTGTTATCCGCTTTTATCGTCCGCATCGGTTTACAGTGTGTCCTCGGGCTCAGGAAAACAAGAGGCCAGAATGGCGGTTCGCAAATCAGACCCAGATACCTTAACGTAAATACCAAATCACAAACAGACAGCTCGGGAGAAACGGGCAAACCAAGAAAACACGCAGAGATGTCAAACTAAACTGATGGCTCAAACAGGTAATACATTTACAGCTTAACATAAGGCGAAAGAAACAGAGCAGAAAAATAAAAAAAAAAGGTTGAAATAAAATTTGTGTATTTGTGTGGGTAGAAAGAAAACGGCAACACACAGCCTACATCTGCCAGTAATCATGCTGCAGGGATCTCAGTGTAGCATGCTGAAGGTAAATGAAAGAACCTCCCAGGAGCGCAGACCACAAGAAGACAGGATATGCGGGCATTTTTCTTTTTTTTTTTTCTCTCTCTCTCTCTCTCTCTCTCTCTACGCTTTCCAGATGAAGGAGGAATAAAAGAGCAGACTAGAAAGTGTCCTGACCTGAACCGTCTGTAATCTTGTTTGGACTGAGCTACAGCCAGTTAAATGTGGAGAAATGAGGGACGTCATGCCCATTCTGCATATTTTTTTTATTTTTTTTGCACCATTTGAGCAATTGTGTGGAAGCAAATCCCTCTTTGTCATGGTGTATATAGAAGACGCTGGCAGCCTGTAATGTTTGAAATTAACAGATGCATTTGTAAGAGCTGCTAAGTTAGACTGAGAGCAAATAGAAGCAGTTCCTGTCCTTCCCCTCCCAAAAAAAAAGAAAACTTCAAAGCAATGCATTCCTTCTAAAAGTCACTGTGTCTGATGTGCAGCTGAGGTCAGGACGGTCTGATTGAAAGTGCAGTGATTCAGTTCTTCCTGTTATTGTAGAGCTTGTTCACACTGCTACTAGAGCAGGTGGCACAATAGTCTTGTTCTTTTACTCATATGAAACATTTCAGGGAAGGGGAGAAAAAAAATGAGCAAGAAGTAAAAGTTAGAAAGTGATGTAAGTGTGTTTGTGGAGGAGAGGCAGACTAAACAATAGTGTCATAGTCTGATAGCAGGAGTCTCACTGCTGCTCCCTGTTCGTTGTGTGTGTGTCTTTGTTTAAATGTGCGCATCCACCGACTTTGTGTGCAAACATAAATCGTCCCTGTTGTGGGTGATGTCAGCAGTCACTGACGTCAGGGGTTAAGGCTTCGTCTGATGGTGGAACAGCGTCTGAAACCCTCCACACCTTTTATTGCAGGATTGGAATCTCCCAACACTAACAGTTGCTTTCCTTTCTTGCGCGGCACATGTGAAGTTTTGCAAGGAGCAGATTGACCGCTTAAGATTCATAGTCATTTTTGTAAAAACAATCTGCCCTTGACCCTTGGTTGCTCTGCTATTTTTTTTTTGCCAACAGCCATTGATTGTTGGCTAAAATCACTATCATGCTTGTTAGCCAATTAAACCCAATTCTCTATATTGCTGCTTAGCTGACGTCCTTGGACAAACAAGACAAAGGTTAGATTCATGCTTTATTGTTTGTATTTTCCTTATTAATGATGCAGGGGAAGAAAAGCCTTTTAGTATGCAGACTAACAATATCAGATAAAGGGTTTGATTGTGCGGTTGCTCGGGTGTATAATCCAGTAAATATCGGGACAGAGCCCCCGACATTACCATTCACTCTTAAAGCACAGCATAGTGCATGAAGGGGACTTAAAATATTGTATGTGTTGGCCCTCGCCTTGTTAGTTATACTGCAGGTGTAGTAGGCAGACTTAATTTTGCAGCTTGTAAATAAGACATTCTTTACGCTTGTATTTTGATTTTGGTTCAGGTGAATTATTCATACGCTGATCAATTTAGGAATGTTTTGCTTCCATGATTACTTCAGTCTAGTGGAAAGACAACAGCTAAAACACACATTTATCTGTTTATTTCACGACCCTGTGTATAGAGATAGGACCTCATATGCATATTTAAACATAACATTAATTAAACTTGTATTTACAAAAAAAAACTGTTGTCTAAATGTAAGTCATCACCTGGGCAGGATGTCTGTTAGTTTGCCACCTAAATGGTGGTTTCCAATTAAAAATAAAAAAGTATGGAATTTTACAATATATGTCTTTAAAGGCCTTTGAGTTTTTGCTCAAAGTCATAAAAAAAAAAAAAACTCCACTTCATTAGCACTTAAATACACCAGACTTTGCATTTGTATTCCTATCTATATTCTGAAGGTGTTATTAAGGTCCATTAAAGCCTGATTTGCAGAACATTTTATTTCCAGAAACATGGCACTAAAAAAGCATTTGTTGAAAGTGTTTTCTGATTTATGAAGTGATCAAAGGAGATATTCATAATCCCGTCTGTAAAAACCTTTGACTCCAATTTGTCAACAAAACGAAGCAAAAAGTTTGAAGGCGGTTTTGTTCAGAAATGTTAACACAAATTAGGGCACTTTTAGACATAAAAAAAACTCAGTTGCATATTTAAATATTGCATTTCAGATAACTTATTGTCATATTTGAAGTAATAAAGTGGGAAAGTTTTACGTTGATATAAGTTAAAAATATCACCCTGTTCACTTGTTGTGTCTCCTTTTAAAATCATCGATACTCTCACATACTGAGGTGTAGCCCTCTGGCTCGACTAGAGCTCATACACAAATGGACAGATTTAAGTTTAGCAGGTCTCCTTATAAGTCTAGTTACAGTTGCTAAGCTGTGATTGGAAAATACTTTATAAACTGACAATCTAGCAGGTGAGAAATTAGAGATTCTCCAAAAACTTTGCTGTGTAACTTATCCTTTGTACAAAAAACTGCCTTTCAGATAATTGAATTTATTTACGTCCCAATACACAAGGTGAATGCATTTAAGGAAAGATTGTGTGCACCACGATGCCTATTTGACCTCTCTCAGCAAGAGCCAGCATTTAACCCACATTTAAGTGAAGCAGCTTATTAACTATGAGCACTTTTGCCATCAGACGTGTTCTGATAGCGACTCATACAAACTAGCTGGTTTCAAGCATACCGGACAGAGCAAAGGAGAGGAGGGAAGAAGGGAAGGAACACGCCCACTGTAAAGGAAAAAAAAACAAAGGATAGAAATCAGTCTTAAAGTCAGAAACTGTGAATGAAACTCAGCAGGAGCAGAAGGACAGATAATGGTGAGAGGACAGATTGGAGGGTGCGTGGGTTGTACAAACGTTTGATTGGGCTCCTCAGGCTGGTACACGTCTCTAACCTCATACTCCGTACACCTCCTGACTCTGGAAACACACACACACACACACACACGTTCACATACTCGCGATTCGACGGGCTTTCAGGCACACATAGACCCACTTATCCACTTATGAATCCGTGAGAATCATAACATAATTACCTAATGGCATGTGCTATAAGAATTCCCTTGCACCCTCTTCAGCCTTATAAAGCAGGTAATTCAGATGTCAGGCATGTTTTTATACTCAATATGTTTCTGAAGCATCTCATTCTCTCCCCCTCCGCTCTCTCTTTGTGTACGTCAAGATCCGATGGGAGAAGAACATCACATTAGGAGAACCTCCGGGGTTCCTCCACTCATGGTGGTGGTGAGTGTTTTTGTGTCTAATGATTCCAGATACATTCTTCTTAATGCCGCTCTCTCTTCGTTCCATCACTGACGTTACCGAATAAAATGGTAATTTTCTCTCCTCCTCCTGTTTTTATTTGTCTTTATCTCATTAATTGTCCCCGAAAGCTCTTCTTCTGTTTGCAAATTGCAACGCCGCACTTGAAGTCATCTATTTCAATGTTGATAATAGAAGCATGTCGTCTTGATGCTGGATTACCTCTACAACTGCTTTTATATTCTCATCTGTCAGGCTGTAGTCGCTGTTCTCTCTGACTGGCTCTCTGTGTGTGTTTGTAGTGTTTTCTGGGACCTGTACTGTGCAGCTCCAGAGAGAAGAGACACATGTGAACACTCCAGCGAGGCCAAGGCCTTCCATGACTACGTGAGTTTGCAATGTCTGTTGGGAGATGCCATATTATAAGGAGACCAGGAGAAGTGTCCCAATATTCAATAAACGGATAGGCTATTATGAAATAAATAACCCTTTGAATAAATGAATCCATGAAAATCGTGACCGTTCCAGCCATGAAATTGTGAAGTAATCCAATAGGGTTTGCGCAACTCAACTCATTACAGTAAAATGTTATTTCATTTGCTTCTTTTCTCAACAGCAGCGTCTATCGCTTGTGTTTGGCTCTTGCTTTGATGGGAAGTCAAACTGGTGGCGTAACCGCCTTCGCAGCTCTTCTCTGGTCGTATTGATAGACGAAAGCTATTTGATGAAAAGAAGCTTTATGAAATGCAAGCAGACTTTGGGAAAAAGTGCGTTGTGAAATAAAAACTGTGGGAGGGGAATAAAAAGCTACCTGAAATACACTGTTAGAGCGAAAGAAGTGGGATTAAATCATATTTGGTATTACGGTGGATGAAATTGGATTATTTTACCGACATGTTACGCAGTACGCTGTGTTTATAGTCGTACAAATATTTATTTCCTGATGTCTTTTTGTTCATTTAATATTGATTCCATAGTCACAGTAACTCCAATGTTTCCATGTTTGCTTCCTACTTGCTTGTGTAAATTTCACAGTTTAAAATATTACCGCCAAAAGCAACATTAATGGCAACAACGGCAAAGCTGCGTGTTTAGATCACAAAGTCGAAACCACCTTTATCAGCTTCTCACATCTAATCCGAGAACAATATACTTACCACTGTTTGGTTGTCGCACGGCTGCAACTTGTCTTTACAACCTCATAAAATGGTTTTTATCTCGCTATGAATCTCTGATCTGAAGTGGTGTTTAATTAAACGCTTGTTGTGATGTTCAAAGCGCCGCGATAAAGTGCGGAGAACACGTCGCACTCGCTTAGGGTTTTTGCATCCGCTCCGCCAGAACGGCCTCCTGAAATGCGGCTCGTGCACATAAAAGCGCCGCATTACAGCGAGGAGCAGACTGGGCAGGGAGACAGTGGCCCGTGTGGTGGAAACATTGTTTATTGCTGTGTTTTCTCAGCGTGGCTCCACTTCTGCTGCTGTAATTCCCGCACATCCAGGCTAGGGCTTGATTCAGTCATGCGCCATCCGGTAACTGGAATACAGCGAGCGGTGCCAGAACTCCTGAAGTTTTAGATTAAACTGGTGACTAAGAGCGAGGAAGTGTGAGTCTCCTCTTGGGGAGGTTTTGAGATGTGTGTGTGTGTGTGTGTGTGTGTGTGTGTGGTTGTGTGTGTGTGTGTGTGTGTGTGTGTGTGAGCAGGGGTCTTCTCTCTCCTGCCTTTTATGTTGTTGTTTTCCCCTCTGTAGCCTGAAGTCTGACTCATCACATTTGTCTGTACACTAGTTTATTGAGATGTATTGTTGGAAGTGCACAGGTCAGGGGTTTCTGCCTACCCCAGCAGGATCTTCTCTCCTCCTCCTCCTCCTCCTCCTCCTCTCTGTGGTTTTCGCTCCCTCTTTCCTTTAAGCTCGTCCAACCGGCGGGGGCTCTCTTCCTCTTTTATCTTCTTGCAGTAGGTGCACGCCGATGTGTGTGCAGGTGATGCTGCTGATGCCGGCGATGATGATCAGGGTGATGAATAGGCACTCCGAGGACGAGGCGGCGATGTGGTGATGTCATCCCGGCTCCAAGGGGGGGGAAGGGAGTTGGAGGGCATTGCGACCTCGGAGCCCTGAGAGACGTAAGGAGAGAAAACATAGCTAGAATAGGAGAAGGAGACACAAAGAGGGGACAAACGGAAGAATCCAGACGCTTAATCCGAAACACGTCTCGACGTCGAAAAAAACAACAGTAATTAAATCTAATTGTGCTCAAGTTGACAACAGCAGTATCTTGTTGTTTCGACGTATCTGATCAGAATCAATTCAATTCAGAAATCACTCCGAATGTATCTTAACGTCATTAGCAAAGGCCACCAGCAGCATCTTATTCTTACATTTCCTGCTGGGATGTAATCAGAGAATTATAATTAGACCAATTGTAATTAGACCAAGGTCACTTTCAATCAACTGCTCCGATGCTGCGCTGCTTCTCAGATCCAATCAGAGGTACTACCCACATATCTGCCGCTCAATTAAAACAAAATGAGGGGACAACTGCGGTGGACGTCGTTGGAAAAAGTAGCACGCCTTAATTTGGTGCTTGTGTCTCTCTTTCAGTCTCCTGACTTTGAGACTGATGGAGATTTTAATCAGACATTTTCATGGTAATTATTTTCAGATAGCTAATTACTGAGTGAAGTCCTAATTAATGCTGGGGAGATGTAGGAGCTCATTCGCATCATCTTTGTGTCCCTTTCCTTTGATAATTGATGGGATTGTGACAAGGCTTTTTGACTCCATCTGCACGCTTGTTCCGGTTTGAGCCACCTAATGTAGACACAGCTGGCTTTGTGCGAATTTGTGTTTTCCCGTTCTGTCCGTTGAAACGCGCGCAGGCGCCGATCGCGTAGCCGGATTGGGCGCGTGTGAGGATGGGTCTTCTAGGGCATTAATACAGTAATCTAATGTTAAAAAGGAAAGAAGGAAAAGACTGATGAACAAAGTGAAAGCGAGAGATGCAATGTTATTGATTTCCATCCTCAGACAAAGCTTTTCAGGCATCAGAAAGGCCGTTTACAGTTCTGTTAAGTGCTTTGTAAATTGTGTTCTCAATACTAAATGAGCGGTTTCCATTTGCAGCGGCTCATGGAGTCATAAAAACAAGTTATTTTTAAATTCTTATGCTTGGCCCGGAAATGACCTTGTTAGAGACAAAAGTCAAAATTGTTCCTGTCTTTGAAGAATCAGACACAAATCAATGCAGGTCATTTCAGGCTTGTGCTGACAGATGACAGCTGTCACATAGCTGCACCGTCTTAACACCGAATATACACTTACATGGAGCTTTGTATTACAAACATATCCCCATGTGTCAAGATGATGCATATGGAGAAATAAGACCGACTTTTATATTTTACACAATGGGGTAATTTCTCTTCCTAACATGATATGAGCAAATTAAACAGTAAATTCAGCTTTAAATTGCTTGCATGGCCATACTGGGCATATTAGCAGCAGTCCAGACACTTTAAAATGTTTGCTGTAATGAAAAATGGCTCACTTAATTGAAATACAAACGTCCCCGTATGAATTGTGTTAAGTGCACTGGTGCGTGCTTGTATTTTTGTGTGTGGCAATTTGAGTTTGCAGAATAATTATAAATATACTCCGTACAAATTCCCCTCTGTGGATTTTTTTCTGGCAAGATCTCGAGGAGACATTTAAAGAGGCAGACTGGTGCTAGAAGGGTTGATGAGTTGGAAAATTTTGGGGAGTTTTTTTGGAGAGCTGCACTCTGAACTAGACTCCAGTGAGAAAGATGCCTCACTTCTGATTTCAGGAGATTATCGGTGTCTGACAGTTGCGCCGGTACGCTGTGCAGCCTGTAGATAAGACTGGCGCTCTAACCGAAGCAAGTCGTGGGTTGAAAAAAAAATAAAAATTCTCTCGGCTGAAACTAGATTTTGGTTAAAAAAAAGTGATCATTGTGAATGAAAACAGGCTTTGAACTGACACGTTGTAGGCGGACAGTGTTTTGTGAGAGCCCGTGCATGTTTTGTCTCATCGGTCAATCTGTAGGTTCAAAACAATAAAATAGACGCTGTTAAGTCAGTTATTTTTATTACTGATTCATCTGCAGTTGCTTTTAATGAATCATTCGGTTCATAAAATGGGAAAATTAGGGTGGCCGAGAGAGCTCCTCACACTGTGTCATCAGAAAAGACGAGCAGCTGATGTGTTTTTAGTCGCAGTGCATTAAGTCCAGTAGAAAAACACCAAACTGACATGTTTAAATGTCTTGTTTCATCTGACCAGAAGTCCAGATGTCCAAAATATTTCATTTTCTACGACACGTGACAATGAAAGGCAGCAGATGGTGTCTGTCGAGCGAGCAGCTGTAACGTTTTGGTGAAGAAAAAGACGTGAACATAATACTCCGTTATTAAAATGACTTTTTTTTTTTTCTCTTGATCAACTAATTATTCAAGTAATAATTCATACAAAGGCAGTTTGTCTTCCTCAGTTACATTTTGCAGTACAATATTTTTCTGCCTTTAATGCACTCGTGACCCCTCAGATATCTTGTTTTGGGAGGCTCCGCCACCAGATTGGGACCTACTGTTTTAAGATGCTGCTAAATTGGTAAAACTCCAGTAAAAAACAATTGCGATGGCACCCCGCTGTCCGCCTGTGCAAGGCTAAATTAGTTAAGATGAACAAAGAGGGTGACAGATGGATGAAGTGGAGATGGAGCAGACGTAAAATGTGCAGCAGACAGGCAGCAGCGTTACAAGCAAGTATTATAGCAAGAGAGAGAGTGGGGGGGGAGCCTGGTATCATTGTGTGGCATCACTGTGGGAGATAGCAGGCACACAGCAGTTAGAGGGGAAGAAGAGATCAAGAGGCAGTGCCAAGAGCAACCCCCTTTGATAAAAAAGCTCTGTCTCACGCTGCCGGATCTTACATTCACACTGTCTCCCACTCACGCATGGAAATGTATTCACGGCTGCTCAGTTAACAGCGGCGCACATATTTTGTCGTTATTGCAAAGCTAAAGGATACACAGATTTGTAAATATGTAACAACACTCAGGATTGCTTTATTCATTTACATACTGATGCACTCTGTTTGATAAGCACACAGGCTTCTGTGAGAGCCTGGAGGACGGGGTTTTACCTGCAAACAGCTCCCGTCTGCAACGAGGAAGCATGTTGCGTAGAATGTAAACTGCTACACTAAATACAAGGACACTTATATATATGTAGAGAGAGAGTTGGCCATAGATTTTGATCACTGTTTGAGAACATTTATGAATGAAAAGAATCTTTAATCCGATTCGCTTGACAATCTGCAGCCTTAATACTCAAGTTGCACTGTAATACTTCCATGAATGTTGCAATG